GTGCTGCCCCGCCGTTCCCGCCGCCGGCCCCTCCCGCGGGAGGCGCTGGTGCGGGCGGGTCCGGGTCCCTCAGGGGCGGCCGGGCCCGGGTCTTTCAGCGGTGGCCGGGGTCGGGTCCCTCAAGGGCGGCCGGGCCTGGGTCTTTCAGCCGGGGCCGGGTCCCTCAGGGGCGGCCGGGACCGGGCCGGGGTCACTGCCAGCCGCCGCGGTGGTGGGTAACGTCGGGGAGAGGGCACGGCCGACTTCTCCTTCCCTTTTCCAGCCTTTGTCTCCTGATTATGTAACTTGACACTGCGGTCTTCGGAGTTTTCCCAGTTTTCAGCTGACCTCATTTCAGTGTGCTAAATAAAATAGGTGTAATTGGTGGTTGGAGAGCTATTTCAGAATTTCCGCTGGGCCTGTATGTATTTATTTCCTAAGATCTACGTAGCCTATAGATGTGCATAGTTTTCAGGGGAAAACGGCGATTCTCTTCACATGTGGAAGACATTAAACAGTTTCTGTTTCTGCTGCTTGTTTTGCATTCTTGTACCATCATTTATTATTTCTAAAAGTAAACATATGCGAATTCTACATAAACAATAAAGCTATGGGATTTTCTTATAATTTCTCTGTAGAGAGTAGAAATATGGTCATGACTATGTCCTGGGAATGTGGGGATTGCTAAAAAACAAAGTAGATACTTTTCAGAGAAAAACAGTGCATGTCAAGTATCTGATGAGTCATAAAACCTCAAGTTAGTGTAAGCAGATGTTGGTTACAGCTCACATTGATGGGAAGTACATAATCACCACCCCGATAGCCTCCCACTGTCCGTTTCTGGTCCAAGAACTTCCCCAAAAGTGTGGTTTCAATTTTATGGAAAGCCTTTGAAATTTGGCACAGCTTCCAAAAGTATGTAGGAAAAAAAAAGTCTGCCAGAGGTTTGGCCTCCAACTGTGAAAACAGACACTGCCTTTTCAAACTCCTCTCCTAGATCTACTGACCAACACCCAGAAGAGAGAACTTAGATTCTTTCAGAATACAACAGGAGAATGAAGGTATGTATGCTCCTGAATTCAACTTTTGGTTATATCCTTTGTTTTAAACTGTCAGCTGCTGCACAAGGCCAGGCTCTGATGTGAAAATACTTGCTTTAAAGAACGAAAGGGAAGTCTTTTCATATGTGCTACAGGGACGTTTCTTACTTGTTGCTTGGACAGATTACAGAAGTTAAAAGGAGGATTTCATTGTTTACCAGCCATGGAGGCAAACTTCAGGCAATATTAAAAATGTAATTATTGTTTGTTTCTGTTCTGCAGACCCGGCTAAAAATCATATTTGGCGTGGTTATATGCCTTTTGCTTTCCTTATTACTTATGTGTATTATACTCCTTCCATCAAGAGGTAAGGTATTTCTAATCTAATGTAGTGTAATGCAGTGTCTTTGGCTATTGTGGCTTCTAAAGTTCACAAAAGTTTATCAAATCATGTTTAGGATTGTCCTGTCAGAATTGTTAAGGCTTTATCACTTTACAGAAATGTACTGACAGCTGAAATATCCTGAAGGTAGAATTGAAATGCCAGCAGATGTTGAAACAAGGAACTCCTTGAAGTGAAAAGCACCTGAATTAACTTCATTGTGCATGATATATAATGTTCTTAGTCACAGCTTCAAAAATAACTCTCAGATCTTCTCATATTATTTTTCTGTTTTAGGGTTTAGGAGACTTTCCCAAACTGTTAGTAATTTTCTTTAGCTTGATGAATTTGCATTTGGTTTTAAATGGTTGTGTAATAATTACAGAAGTTCTGTATCCAACAAGTTAAACTTTTTTTTGGTAGATGGGCTGTGATTAAATTTTGTGAATATACTCAAGCTTGCATATGAAAATTAAAGTCAGCATTATATAAAATAGGGATGGATAGTTTTCTCTAGTATCACTACACCAGTTGTAGGTAAATCAATGCAGTGTGGTCTACTGAGTCCTCTGGTGAAGCTTGTAATGAGTTTTGAAATTTTGAACATGAGTGGCACTGACTTGATGGTAATTGTTTTCTATGACAAGTTAGTAAGGGCAATACAAGTATTAACATGACCCTATCACTATAGCAGATAACTTTAATGCCTCTAAAATAATTAAAATATTAATAAAAGGCTTATATTCCAGTATCTATTTAAAGGACTTTTTTTATTATTATTACTCTTTTTTTCATGTGTGGGCAGGGGGACTGAAATGCAGAAACAGTTTTCTATTTACAACTAAATTTTATAAAATCAACCATCTGCTTAAGTCATGTGAAAGTCAACTCCTGCAGTTAATATGCAGGTTTTGTGAAAGGTGAAATCTCTTTTGTATCTGATATTTCTGTGTCTAATGCTTGTCATGGATTGTTGAAAGAAGGGTTAAAGTTTTCCTAAGCAATTAGGGATGATTCTGTTATGCAGCATTTTAATATGAGGATTGATATATATCAATTATATATATCTATAGATAAATATAGATAAGCATATATATATATATTATGCCATACTGGAAGAGATACTACCTCAGAGTGACAGGTTTGACTTTTACTGTCAATAGTGGGGTGCCAGATTTTTTCCCTTGCCATGCATGGTCAAATCTGAGCTTTCACTACAAGGTAAATGCATGTATCAAGTCAGACTTACTCCCATCAGATCTGCATTTTATGACACGGAAGCATAATATTTTTTGAGATTTAAATTTATAAAATAGTAGTGAGGAAACAAAGAGGTTGGAGACCAAGGATCAGTTTGTCAGCCTGGAGAAGTTGATAAAGATGATGGTAGGTACTGTAGGAAAAAGTGAATATGTTTTTTTCCCTCTCCAGTTGTCACATACAGCTCACTGGCCTGTTCAGTACCTCAGCAATTATGGAGAGCACTTGTCATCTCTCTTGGAATAGTGACTTGATAACCAGTCATACCAAACATCATATTTAGATCCAGCAGGATGATAAAGAAATTATCTTGCTTCACTGGATGCTTTTGGAGGAGCATTTTAGACAATTGAGGAACACACAGTTATGTCCAACACACATTTATTTTGGATGGGTCAGATTATGGCTTCTTATTCTCAGATGGAGCTGCAAGTGCTGCAGTTACCTATTAAAATGCCTTAACTTTTTTGAATTCTAAGTAGTCTACTGATCAGTTGTAAATAGAAGAAATATAAGTTAATTTTGCAGTTACGAATTTTGCAAGTTGAAGACAGACAGGAAATGTCTAGACAGCTGGAATGTTGTTTGTACATTCCGGCTTTACCACTGCTCAGCTGAAAGGATGTGGCAATCTAGAAAGACAATTAATTGCATATGAGAAATGTATAGACACAGATCAAATAAATTTCTACTTAAGAAATCTGCAAAGAAAAATGGAAGGAGCATTTAGTTCTGTTTTTGTCTGCTAAGTTTCTAGTCATTTCATGTTCTTCAGTTTTCTGAAAATGTGATAGGTGGTTTTGGTTTACACATGCAAGTGTATAAAAATGTCAAAAATTCTCAAAAGTTAACTGCACAATATTTTTTTTGAAAGGATATTAACAGGGAAATACTTGCAGTTATTAGACGATTTCTGTGGGGCTCAGAAGAGCAAGGTGGGCAATCTCAATGTGGCAAATGGCATCCATGCCTAGGAAATCATTGACCATTTTTTGACACATCTTTGAGGCGGGAATGTGTGGTGGGAGCCACATTTACCTGGCAGTGATAACCCAGCTTTGATACCACAACTCCAAACGGTTCAGAAAGGAGTTTTTCATTAGTACACTAGTGTACCTAGACCTGTTCTTCTGCAGCATAAACAAGAAAGAAAATACCTCTCTGCAGTTGAGAAGCAATAGCAGAACCACAGGCAGAGTTACTATTGTATTGCTTACAAATGTATTTACAAATGTATACAAATAAAAATGCATTTGTAGAGTTGCAAATGTATTGCTTAGGCTTCAAATTAATCTCTTCTGCTATTTTTAATAAATGTTCAAAGTCATGTCTGTCGCAGTTTCTGTTCCCTTTTTACTCTTGGCCCAGGCCTGAGGCCCAATCCCTGTTTCTCTCATGTCACAGATGAGGTCATAGGGTTTATTGCTCAGCCACAAAATGGTGAGCAGCCAGTTTCTTAGGAGGAGGTAGTGCTCTCTGCAGCACCTCAGCCAAACCCAAAAGTGGAAAAGCCAGTTCAGTTGATGTGAGCTGATGCTGAGTGTGACCAAAGTTCTGGAGAAAGGTCAGGAGTGTTGGAATTAATTTCTGGTGCTAAACTGAGTGTTTTGTTTCCTCATGTTGGAGGAGCTTGTGCTTCAGCTATTCAGCATCAGCCCACAGAGATGAAAATGGAAATTCTAGTCCAGACGCAAACAATAATACCATGCTAACCAGTTTTCCTTTGGCATGTCCTCTACTTGATGTTTAGCAGTGGATGGTAAATAAAATACTTTAAAAAATACATATGTGTTAAATACATATAAAATACATCTATATATAACTACACAAAAAAATACCATCTACAGAAGCAACAATACCTTCTGATTCTTATGCATGCTTACTGTAATTTGGCAAGACTAGACTCAGGATGCACATATATATAAGGATGCACATTAGAACATGTGGAAAAAGCCATAAGCCAGGAGAGCTTTGTAATACGAAAGGTTGTGTTGGTTTACCCACATCCAGTCTTTGAAACTGAATAATCCTGGTAATACAAGCAGAATTTCACAGTGATGGAGTGATGTACATAAAGTTAATCTGAGTTTAATATAACTGCAAGTTTTGCTTTCTGTGTTTGTTTTGGGTTGCAATAAAGTAAAGGAGAAGCTATCTGCATAAAGCCAGTGATAATTATTAGACGTTTACAGACTTTTATCACTATAATTATATGTGTAAGTCCAATACACTCAAATGCATGAGTGAGTAATTATGATAATTGAATATATAAAGCAATTTACACTGTGAAGCAAAATAACCGATTCAGTGCACAGGAAAATGCAGAACTGCACCCTGTAAATGAGTGGAAATGGACCACAAAAGATTAAAACTGAGGCAGCAGTGTGGTGAGGGGAGGTAAGCAAAGCTGGAGTTTGGTAAGCTTTCGTCTCTGTGGTTGGCTCTGTTGTTTGCTTCCTTTTTGTCCCTGGACATTTTTTTCATCCTAATTATTTCATAGAGGAAACAAACCACAATGAAAGAATTTGGCAAGCCTGCCAACAGCCATTCAAATTAATGTCTATAGAGTGCTGCAGATATGTAAAGTAATTTCCATGTTAGAGTCTGGTTTGTGAGCAGAGATTTCAGATACTGTAATTGAACAAGTCTCTAGTTACAGAAGAGAGAAACAGCAACAATTGTGGGAAACTAGTGAAGATGCTGCTGCTATCTTCTGTTACCTAAAAACAAGCATTCAAAATTGTAAGTACTCAAGTGAGAAATAGTTGTGTTCAAATTTTTTGTAGTACAGTGGTAGAAGTACAGGTCTTAGTGGGCACATTTTGAATATCAGTAGTCATAATAAATCCTCACAGAATATTAAGTATGTAAAGCTGAAATAGCTAACACAGGGGAGGTTTAAATTAGAGCTGTGAAGTTAAACCAGTGATGAGAAGTTTGTGATATTGCTTGTCTGTTAAGATGAGAGAAGAAACCAGGTAATTTTACCAGATTAGCATACCAAAAAGGACTGCAAATTTTCTACACAAACAACCTTGGAAATATTGATTTATCTTGCTGATAAGCTTATTCACTTAGAGAAATTTAACTGAGAGATGGTGATAAGTAATTATCATTCAACTTAACTAGAACTGAATTCTTTGGAATTACTTTCTGTGCATTTTTTTTATAATCTGCCATCTTCTAAATTTATCCTTAGTGTATCAAAGATCTGTAATATGCAGTCATAGTATTAGCAAGAGGAATTAACTTCTTGTTGAACTTCTTGGGATATTTTCTGGACATATTGCTAGCTCAGAGTTTATACAGACAGGTTTTTGCCTCTGGATTGGCATTCAGTTTTATTCCTTGTGACAGCTTTCTTCTGTGTTAGTGCATACAAGGCTTGTGTCAACAGTCAACCTGACATGTGTATTCTACAGTAAGTAATAGTCACTTAGCAGAAGAAAATATGTATTATCATTACAAAGTACTATAGAAGGCAATATGAAGAAACATTTCCCAGGAAGTCAGTGTGATCTTAACAGAGAGGGCAACTAATGAGCAAGTGATGGAGCATGATATGAAACCTGAGAGCAACAAGTCATCTTGATTATCTACTGTCGTCTGAGAGCTCTGAAAGAACAAACAAGGGAAGTGGCAAGCATCTACTAAGCTGCAGTGTGACATCTCTACTACCTCTGAAAACCCTGGCAGAAATCCCTTTGATTTTAAAGGAGAAAGCACAGTGTTCAGAATGCCGAGACCTGAAAGCTGCCATTATTATGCTGTTGAACTTTAACCATTGGCCTTTATCAGAAAAGTTAACGTGTCTTTTGAGGATTAAATATTTTGACTACTCTCACTCTTCTGAATTGCATAGGTTCTGTACAGGAACTGCACAGCATAATCCTCTTCTTATCCAGTTGATTTAACCTTGAATTTTCTTTTAAAATAGGCCCTAGCTTAAGTTGTTTAGCTTTGGGAAAAATAATGCCAGACAAGAGCCAGAACACCAGTCTCCACTTTTTGCATTATTTTAATACAGTTATATGTCCTGCTTAGAAATCAAATATTTGATTTCTTCTGTCTTCTTTCAAGAATCATTGTCAGTTTTCTTTTACAGCATTAAATAAAAAGTTCAAGTTTGGGTTCACTCATTACTTTTCAGCGTTATTTTTACTTGCATTCCTTCATCGATATTTTTCATGTGACTGCTAAGAAATATATGTGGATGGTGATTATTTTGCAAGCCATCTTCTAACAATGGGTAATGAGGCATGGAAAAAACTTGGAAGTAAGAGTTTGTAGGCACATCCTGTTGTTTACTATTTGCTGAACGTGCGGAGGTCTTGGTTAAAATAGTTGCCACTACAAGTGCGTGAAACCCATGCTTTAACAATAAAAAATGAAAATACCAAACAACCTTTAATCTGTCATTTTTGTGGAAAAGGCTTATTTGGACTCACAGGTCTTCAGGTAAATGTGTCTGAGTGAAATAAATTAGTTTGTCTAGTTAACTTTGCATTCCCAAAGATGAGTGTTTCAGAGGCCAAAGGACCTTATCAGAACAGTAACAGAGAACTTTCCTTTCTGCTGCACCTGTGCTTTGCGTATCTCCAGGACTGTGGTATCCTCGCTGTTCCATGGCACTAAATACAGAAAAAATAAAATGCTGGACTAATAAATTTTTTCCCTCTTTTCATTAACATAAACTTTTTGTCTTATTCTTAGTCGTCAACACAGATGATGGTCCCAGAGCTCTTACATTGGAGGATTATTTGAATGGAAACTTCCAATATAAAACATTTTTTCCATATTGGGTGTCAGGTAAGTAAATCCTTTTCTCAAACATAGATAAGCCTTTCTAATATGTACTTCCAGACTGGTTTACACTGACTGAGAAATGTATTTTCCTTCCAGCTTTACTTTGAATGAATGCTAACTATGAAATTAAACAATGTGTTAGTCAAAACTTATGGTTGAAATTTACTGTTCTGTCAGTCATTCTAGAAAATCCAGGTATTTGATGTTTCAACAGACATGTCTAAGTCAAGTATAAACTATAATTTTACAGAGGCCTTCAGTGTTTTATTTCTTTTACTGTCATATTCATTGCAGCAAGTGAAAGAAATTTGTCAATGTGTCAGTCATTCCTTAAGCAATCTCTTTCTCATGCTTTTTGCAGCACTTTTCACTTACCACATGAAGTGATTGAGGTAGTCTGTTTTACAGGCCCTGTTCTTTGTTTTCAGTAGTACCTGGCTCTGTAATGAGGCCAGCTGTTCTAATTTCATTTAAGGAAGTGCTGAAATTCCTGAGTTCCAGGATATTGCATAGAAAATAAATTTGAATTTCTGAGTTCCTTAAGGTGGAGACATGAAGTTAATTGCTGCTGATATAAATGTGTCTGTGTGTGGCTGGAGCACTGCTCTTGTTATCACTGAATTGCACAGCCCAGGAAGACTGGAGCTAGCCTGGATTACATTCTAGCACTCATACTACTCCCAGCTCTGTGCTGCCTGAAGCACTGTTCTCTGCCGGTAACAAGCATAGTGCCCATTCACATAAAGTCTCACCAAGCTGGTTTAGCCCACAATTTTAGAACAGAAGTAAAGCCTTATACGGTATTTCTTGCAGTGGTTCAATTCTATGATTAACAGTTTGAAGTATGTTGATATCACTTGTATGATTTAAAAATTATGTCACTGTTTGTTAGAATTCTGTCTAAATGTCTGAAGAATGTAGGCAGCATATCACCTAAACCTAATACTCTTCTCTCTTTATAGCTTTCTCACTTAGACTTATCTTTCCTTTTAACAGTCACAAATCTCACACAAAAGTCATGCCGTAGATTCCATAGATAGTCATGCCTACAGCATTCCATATGTCTACTTCTCTTCTGAAACAAGGAGTTAAAATTGTATATCTCATCCTAAGGGTGATTTTAAACACAAATACTGTTACACAAATCACACAAGAGTGCTCAGAAGATCCAAGGGTGATCTAATTTCCTAAAAATGAACATATTCGCAATGTTTCAGGCTGCTTTTTAACTTTTTTGTTTTCTAGCTACACCAAATATCTAATTCCTTCTCTCTATTCATAACAGTAAAAACAATAATATGAAACTGAAATTCTGATTTTCATTCTCTACCAAACTATAGCTCAGATCTTGAGCACACATTGAAAATTGCATTTTTAATTAAGCCCACTCACATTCATTTTGTAGGACTTTGGTGAGTAAGGGTAGAGTCATGCACTGTCAGTTGCATGGTACTGCTGTTATCTGCAGAATATACAAATGAGAATGTTCTGTTAAAATGATAAGGAAAGATAATTTTCTTTAAAACATTTACATTTTGATCTTGACTTTCTAATGGGTCTGTCGGTGGCATTCTTGATCAGACATTGATGGGAATAAAATCTGGCATTTATTTTTGAAGTTAAATAGTTGATCCTCTGTGCAGTGTATAATCTCAAAAATGTACTTAAGAATCCTGAAGATAGTTTTTTGATAACTCTGTACCTCAGCATCCTTAGAAGAAAAACATTCTTATGTGGATGCCAAAAGATATTTGCCTAAAACCAAACCCTTGAAAGAGGTGTGAATTGTTGATAAACAATTTGTTCTGTAGTATCTTCTGGAAGGTAACATACATTTTATCTTGTTTATAAAGATAATGAATATCTTCACCAGTCTGCAGAAGATGATATTATTCTTTACAATGTTGAAATTAATTATGCAACCACCATCATGACAAACAGCACAATGGTATGTACCTTTTCAATTAATAAAAAGGCAGAAAAGTGCAGCTGTATTTCAAGTTACAGTTTAAAAGTGTGTGAGACTAGAATCTAATTTACTTCTTAATTTTTCAGAAACAAGTTAATGCTTCAAATTATGTGATGTCATCAGACCAATATTTCATAGCTCTGGAAAGCAATTATTCAAAGGTAATTATTTTAATATACCTCTTAATGTAATGTTTAATTTTATTTAGTAATTTGTTGATTGTGTTTACCGTAGATAAATGTTTCTTGGTACTTTCTTGAGAAAGGGGTAGGCTGTGAAGAGGCAGCTGATTATTTGTAGATTATCTTTTTCAAGGCTAATAATATTCTCTTACTTCATTTATGCAGCTGTGGAGATACTCTTACACAGCATCATATCACATTTATGATCTCATAAATGGGTAAGGCCTTATATTTCTTACAGATTCCTGTGGTGAATACACTGTAATGTTCTTGCAAGCATTCACTCCAAAACTGTAGTAATTTTTCTACCAACTTGCTTTGCTTTTGCCTAAGTCTGTCAGGTTACTTGTTTTCTTGAGAAAAAAAAATGTTCTCTAGGAAAAATCATACATTCTTTTCATCTGGATTAATTTCTATTCCATGCCATAAAATTTCCACTTCTCAATATTCTCTTATGTCTCCATCCCCTTCTACTAATTCATTCTTTTTATCATTGATCTAATCTTCAGGCCCATCCTGCATTCCCTAGAAGTCTGTAGCTTCTCCCATGGCATTTGGACTCTTTCCCAAAATTGCCCAAACCTCTTCGCTTTCCACCCAACTGCAAAGGATGCCATCTGCCTCTGCAGTCACCTTTTTATGCTGTAAGAAGCAGCGTGACCAAATGCTTCTTAGTTCTGAGCAGCAGGGGCTGCACTGAGCAGCATCATTCTTGGGAAGCTGTTGGCTCAAGGTGAGAGGAAGAGGTTGCTGCAAGCTAATGTGAGTGGACAGGTGCTGCTTGTGAGTTAGGATCCTCAGCGAGTGCTGGACGTACTGCTGTTGCACCTGCCTTAGTGTATGCTGAGTTCACATTTCCCAATAACCTGCCAAGACTGAAATGCAGACTGCAGCTACAGCAAATGACTGTAGGTGATTGTGCAGCATTTGGAAGGAGTTAAGGCTGGCTTCTTAGGCTGCTGAATAGACTTTCAAAGGAGTATGTGTAAGCCTTTTCCAGCACTGGTGCACGCCATCGTGTTAACTGCATGTCTCTGCCTGCCTTAATTGTGCATTGCTCGAGAAATGATAAGCGGTTAGAAAATAACTTTGTGACTTCTTTATTAATGTACAATATAATGATCCATTTGCACTGTGCACAAAAAGCCATCTCAACTTCTTTCCTTTTTTTAGTGGTTTTGTAACAGAAAATCAGCTTCCACATAAAATTCAGTATATATCCTGGTCACCCGTTGGACACAAATTGGTTAGTAAAGATAATTTAGTGCTAGAATGAATTTGCTTTGTATAGATAAAAGACATTTATCTGCCTTTGTTTTTATTTGGCCATATTTTTGAGAGGTGTGTCTTTATTAATCTTGGTTATGAGAAATAATGACAAAGAAAACAGTTTTAACTTGTTCAGATTTTATTGTCTGTATCTCAATAGAAGAATAGTCTATGTTCTCAGGTACATTATATGTTTCAGTTTGCTCACCAGTCTCTATCCAGAATTGACCAACATAATTTTATATAAGATTAAAGGCAGTTTCAAGGCCTGAAAATCAATTGGTTTCCCTTTGATGCTGTGTAACACATGAATTTAAAATGGAGATTTACAGATGCAATATTTAAAATCTACTCTAACACAGAATTTGGCCTGTAATGTATAATTTATTTGCTGAGGTAACAACACTTGCAGAGTTTACAAGGGCTATTAGTGTACTATTTCCCATTTTGTATTCATTAGGTCTTGCTTGTGTAATGTAGGAGTGTTGACTGCAGAAGATCTTGCTCTAATCCTATTAGCCTGTACTCTTAAGAAACACTTTCTTGACTTTAGGTATATGTATATCAGAATGATATCTATTTGAAACAAAGTCCCAGAGAGGCACCAATTAAAATAACTAGTGATGGAAAACAGAATGAAATATTTAATGGGATTCCTGACTGGGTCTATGAAGGTAAGAAAATCTTGAAAGGCAGCATGATAAATGCTTTGTTTAGATCGGTTCTGATTTTCACAATCCATTTTAAAATATCTGTGATGATACTCTTTTTTTTAAGCCCTAAGGATTGTTTCTTTTCCATATTGTATTTGCTGTACAATATGTTTCTTTTGTATTCATAACATATAACCAAAATCCTGAGTCTTTATTACTGAAACTCTTTATCAGAACTCTACAAAGTTGTCTTCCTTCCAGTGCAAAGACAGAGGCTGGGAATTAAGACTTAAAGTTTTAATTTCAGTGAAAATTTGGCACTTCAGTGCATCCAAAAAAATTTTAAAAAACATGCACACATGAAAATCCCTGAGTTAAGTGGGATCTGTGTGCATGTTTTGAAATGTTTGATGTTATTTATTTTGTGTAAGTGTCTTTATGTGACTAGATTGATGAGTAGAATCCTAAAATAGATTGGAAGGTAGATTACAGTTATAAACTATTTTTGTTTCATCAGAGGAGATGCTAGCAACAAAATATGCACTGTGGTGGTCTCCAAGTGGAAGATATTTAGCATACGTACAATTTAATGATTCTGACATACCTGTTATTGAATATTCATATTTTGGTGAGGACCAGTATCCTAGAAAAATAACTATCCCATACCCAAAGGTATGTTTTATCATTATTTTGACTTATTTTCTGCTGAGGAATGAGTTATTACATTGAGAAAATTAACTGTGCTTAATTCCTTAAGTATTGCCATGGTTGAGTCCATTGAAACTTAAATGAAAGAAAAAAGCTTGGTCTAAGTTCTGAAAAGCTGTAGGTACATACAAAATTTTAAATATAATGTCAGTGAAATAAGTGGAATTACTCACGTAGGTAAAAAGCATGTGCAAAAGTACATTAGCATGCTTCAAGCCTTAATATTTTTCAATTCAGTTTACTTATTCTGGTGTGTAAAGTATGCAGTTGTTATTTTTCATCATAGTAAATAAATTATGAGACTAAATTATTTTTTATTTTTAAAATAAAATTATTCAGTTCAGTTGCAGCTTCACTTTATTTGCATACTTCATAGTGCTTTTTGATCTCAAGGGGCTTTGGATTTTAATTGCTTTCAAGTGTCAGATCTAAGGCAATAAGGTTTTGGGTTGGCATTTCTTCAACATGTATTAGAGAGCTCTCCTAACTCTTATCATGTTCATATGATTTCGAGGGATCATGTTAATGTATCTTAAGAATTTGCTCACCTGTCAGCTGGGTCACAGTTTTAAAGTAAAACTGGATGGTTTAGACCACACATAGAGAAAAATTAAAAAACTGTTAACGTATGCAGTGAAGAAGCAACTATGAAATCAGTTTAAGCAACCATTTCCCTGCTGGGATATCAAACAGCACTTGCAATCATGTGAATAAACTGGAGTTTTATGCTGAAATCAGTTTAAAGTGTGTTGCAGAGAACCACACTGCAAACAGAGCAATGGTTCTCATGAAGTACATTTTCTGTAGAGAAAGGCACTAAACTAAAACATTTAAAAGGTTTTCTTTATATATGCAATGATACAAAGTTAAGTATATACTACAGCTGCAGTGTCACTCTGAGAACTTATAAGACCATTTTCTCTATTACACTCAACTGAATTCATATTTTGTAACTTGCCTCCTGCAAAAAGTGCTTTGATTTTCCTCAATCTGAATTATTCAGATCCTGGTTTTAATAATCTAAAATATTTTCTTTGAAGGCTGGAGCTAAAAATCCTACTGTTAAAGTGTTTATTGTAGACACTATTAACCCTGACGCATTTGGTCCTAAGGAGATGCCAGTTCCTGCAGTCATAGCATCCAGGTAGTGTGCCCTCAAATATGTCTTTTCTTATTTAAAAATTTTTATTTTGGTTGCCCATGTGATACATTGTTAAAAAGGATAAAAAAGTACCCAAATTGCAATGTGGGGGATACAATCTGTAGCAATGTTTCCATACTCCTGTTTTTTAATAACCATTATTTCTTCCTTTTTTATATATTTCAGTGATCACTATTTTACTTGGCTTACTTGGGTAACAGATACTCGAATCTGTGTGCAGTGGCTGAAGAGAATACAGAATTTTTCAGTCTTAGCTATCTGTGACTTCAAAGAACATTCAAATACTTGGGACTGTCCAGAGGTAATGAAGTTGGAAACAAATTTAAAATTACTGAAATTAGCATTTGTTAATTCCTGCCCTAATTATATTTTACAGTGATTTATCACAATAATCTTTTACTAGTAGTGATACCTTTTTCATGATACATTTTAATTGCTGGAAGAGGGATGAAAAATATTAATTATTCCAGGAAATAAAATCACATTTTTTCCTTGTGAAGCTTAAATAACAAACAAAACAACAACCACCACCACCAGAAAAATGCTCTTGAGAGGCTTTCAGTAATGTTTATTTCCTTCTTGTGTTAATATCTTCAGAAGTGGAACCATATAAGATCTGTATTTTTTTTAAAGAAAATCTTATTATGCCATGTTGAAATACCATACTAATTCTAACTAAATAATGTCCTTTTAGATGAATGTTAGATTATTTGAAAGAACATACACATTAATAGTGAGGCAGGTTTTCTGGAAGAAGAAATTCTTCTGTTTTATCAAATCATACAGTTCTAGACAGTAAGCAAGTTTTCAGAAATACAATCAGATCTGAAAAGAAAACTTCAGGCTAATTGCAACAGTAACTACATTTGGTTTCAATATGTAATTCTATGATTTATTCAGTTGGGAAAGAAGACTGTTCTGCTGCACAGAACAGAGCTTTGTAAAGCCTGAAAGGTGTACACGCAGATAAATTCATATGGATCCTGAAGTAAAGACAACCCTGATTTTCAATAACTCTAGTACAGAGATCTCATTTGTTGTCTTTTCGTATTGGTGCTTTTGGCTTGTCTTGTTGGTTCATGGTACAGAAACCCTATTAAAACTAACATTAGATGAAACCTTGGGACTAATGAGAAAAAAAAGGGAAGAATATTGATAAAAGCTTTCTGTATCAATTATAAATTCAGAGTTTATTGACACAGCCTTTTCAAGCTGAAAATAATTTTTACTCCTCTTTAACATGAAAATTGTTGCAAACGTAAAGGGAATTTAAGGTCCTATTATTTCAAAAACATTGTCATTGAAGTAGTATTCTACAGAGAAATATTGTAATTTATTAGAAAAAAAAATCATGTTTTATGCAGCATTTGCTGTATTTCCTAATTGTTCCACTTTATAGGTACATTAACACCGAAACTCTACCCTACCTCCAAGTAAGTTATATCTTAATAATTGCATATTTTAATTGAGAGGAGAAAATAGATAAGGTTTCTAGGATTCTACCACAATCCACTGAAGTACTTTAACACAAGCTTAACTTTTAGCACATAACCAGTTTTATTTACTTCAGTAGAACTGTTTATGTGTTTAAAATTAAGCATGTGCTTAATTGCTTTGCTGGAACCAGACCAGACCAGACCAATTAGCATCTTTCAGGACTGTGTTCATGATCCTTGTTTAATTGCATTTCTCCATGAAACCTTATTTATGGAGTCACTACTGACGTTTCTATAATTCTATATTTATACAGTGATACAATGCTTTTATCACATTAAAGTTTGCACAAATGGCCAATCGAAGGAGTGTGAACAGATGGGACTGCTGCATTAGCTCTATTTGCCATTAGAAAGTATATCTCTGAACATTTCCTTTGGCAAAAACAGTTCTCTTGTTGAATTCAGATTGTATTGAGTCTCTAATGTACAATAGATGTGCTGTTTTATCTATTTGAAAATAATAATAAAATATAATCTACATAATTTTCCTAAAGTGTAGATTCATCAGAAATGTTCACATGTTCAACTCTTGCTCATGTGACTAGACCACAGAAACCAATATGAGCAGTGGAACTATTCATATGAATAAAAGGTAGACATGCCTTGTGAAACTGAGACTACTCAAATGAGAGAAGTTAAATATATCCCTAATGTACTACGTCATCAAGATCTGAGTCTTAATTTAAAGAAAGGAAAATACTGTTAGGATGGAGATGTAAAACAATACATCCTAATTTTATTATCTTGAAGTAAAATCCATCGTTCCACTTGCTCAGTGGAGCCCTTGCAAAGTACTAAATAGTCTTCTAAAGGACAAGGACCTGCAACTCTTCCTCAAGTCGCTTTGTGGAGATTAAGTTAGAAGGGAGAACACATGATTTTAAATAGTAATGAGATTATGTTGAAGATAAGAAATACAAATCATATTCATAGAAATTAAATTTATTAAATTTATTTCAGACTGTGAAAAAAACCATACTGAAGGAACAATATAAAGAAAAAAATTCACAAGATTAAAAAATAATTACATTGATTGAATGCAGAATTTTTTAATATATCGCTAGAACCTCTACAAGCAAAACGTAAGTTCAAATGTAAAAGCACCTTTAGCTGCATCATTCATGATCAATATAAGTCTGTTTCCAAATCAGCTTTAACAACAAGGAGTTAAGATCTTCTAAATTTATATTCATGGTCTCAGGATGCCTAGTAGTCACATCATCCACTACTGTAAATCAACAACACAGCTCTGAAATCAAAGAAAATATAAACCATCTGAAAATCTAAATCAAATTTTAGTATTAATATTCCTGATATTATTGTACTTGGATCTTTGCCAAAAAAATAATGAGATTAAGTAGTTACTCATTCTTGTTTTCAGTGAAAAAGTTGCATAATTGCTTTAAATTTTATTTAAATCTGATAACAGCTGTTAAAAACAATAATTTTATTAATGTAATGATTTTAATACAGCAATGTTATTTACTTAGAAAAGCTCCAACTCTCTGAACCTTCACAGCAGATATTCTAAAATTCTTTTTTACAGGCAGCTACTGATTTATTTGAAGATTTTGAATCTCCATAAACTCAGTCTTCTTAAAGAGACACTAAAGAGTGTATGTTTGCTTTTGTTTTTCAGAATCAACAGCACATAGAGGAGAGTCAAACAGGATGGGCAGGCGGAGTAGGTTTTCTTGTTGTATTCTATTTTAATTCAGTTAGCTACAGCTTCCTGCATCTTCCCATCAGTGTTTTGAAACATGAAGCACCCTTCTGAGACATACAGCACTGCTTTGTTGCACTGTAGGAGTGAGACTTTTAATGCTGTGCTAGATGTAGTATCTGGCTACCTGCTTTCTAAATTTAAAAACCTGTTTCTGTCCCGACCAACTGACTAGACAGGAAAGACGGAAATTAATGAAGGGAGGAAAGTAATGAAAAGAGATAGATTTATAGTTCAATGTAATCCTTGGAAGCATTCTGGAGCCAAAGAATTGTAAAGTAAAAAGTAAAGTAAAATTCCTCTGGTGGCGCTAACACAGGGTATGAAATGGGCTATCATGGTGTCTTAAGAATAAAACCTGTCTATCAGAAGAGTTTTAGTGCCAGGTGCTGCACATCTTCAGCTAGGAGGGAACCTTCAAGGTAAGATACCCCACTTAGAATGGCAGCTGATACTACTCTGGAGTTAACTCTTAGCAAAAGATGTTTTCTCTGCCCAGTAACCCTAGACAACCATATACTTTTGGAAACTTGCAGTAAAAACAAACCTACAAGGAAATTGTAAGAGCATGAGATCAGTATTTACAGTCATATAGTCCAACAGTGAATATGTAGTGTTGCTTATATTTACTTTCAGGCAGGGGAAGTTAACAGAATCAAGTGTGAACCTCACACTGCCTGAATATCCTGCAGTGGACTTAACAATACACATCAGTTTTCAGTGCAGCATCCCTTAGGCGATGCTTGTTATTTTACTTGATTATTTCCTTTTTTCTTTTTTTTTTTTATACTTCATTTGAGGTTCTGATGACAGATTTTTTTTTACAGAAATTGTAACATCTATGGGGAGATTGAATATCACAGGTACAAACTTGTGCAAAGTAGTTTGTTCCATTTGAACTGACTGAATTGTCTTGTTACTTTTCAAATGTGAAATAAAATCTGCCAAACGGCTTGGACAATCTTATGTCTCATCTACTATTTTTCTTCTGTTGTTTCAGTTCTTTGTTTCTGCACCATATTTTACATCGGACAGCAGTTCATACTACAAAATTTTTAGTGACAAAAATGGTTATAAGCACATTCATTACATCAATGGCTCTGTGGTAAGTTAAGCAAATTTTTCTACATTAATCTACTGTCCTGAAATAGGTCTGTAATATTCAGTAACCTTTATGTCTTGCTACACAGGAGAATGCAATCCAAGTTACAAGTGGAGAATGGGAGGCAATATATATTTTCAGAGTAACAAATGATGCAATGTAAGTGTCATGAAGGAAAAAGGTTGTGAGTGTTGTCAGTGAAGGCAGCACTTAATCATTTAAACACCGTTTGTTGACTCGTCAGATTATAATGAGGTGTAATTTATTTTTGTCTGAATACATCCACAACAAATTTGTATATTCTAAGGCACTGCATATGTTTGTAAATACGATTTACTTATGAAAGATTCTTTACAAATTCCCCTCAATTTTCTGTTTATTTTTATCACCATCCTGGAGAGGCTTATTTAAAAACACTTAATTTAATCATGTTGTTAACCCTCACTCAATTTGCAGTTACTTGTAATTTTATGATCTCTCATTCAGCTTACTGTATAGCTAGAAATATCTTACATAATTGGAGAGATTAGCTCATGAGAATTAAGATAGAGCTCCCATTTATATAGCTTATATGTAACCTAATCATAGTCCAAGCAAAGATTTATTAAGGTGAAAGGTATGTAAGCTTAACTACTCTTCCATCATATGCAGAAATCTCAAAAAGTCTAAATTAACTTCCAAGACAGCTTTTCATCTTGATGCTTGTTCATAGGTCATCACTTTATGGATTATTTATTAACATATAAATGAATTTGCAGTTTCTATTCAAGCAATGAATTTGAAGGCTATCCAGGAAGAAGGAATATTTACAAGTAAGTGTCATCAACATTATCTTAATGTTAGTAAGTAGGTTAATAAGTAGGTTAATAGAAGATGTCTCTGAATTTGTCAATAAAAAATTCAGTTTTAAGTTGTTTAATGTGTAATTTCACAAGCTATTTTAACTAAATCTTAACCTCAGATTCTATCAATTGAAGAGAAATGACGTCTAACTTTTAAATATACCCTTGGGGAAATTGATAAAAACACCAGGCATTTCTTTTTAAATTAACTTTCCTGAAAGTACAGGGCCTGCTTTCAAGAATATGAGACAGACACATGTAAAGGTAATTTTAGCAAAATAACAATTGCTTTATTTGATTTTTCCCTTAGAATTAGCACTGGAAGTAAACCTATGAGAAAACAATGCATTACTTGCAATTTAAGGAAAGAGAGATGTCAGTATTATACAGCAAGATTCAGTGAACGTTCTACGTATTATGCCTTGATCTGTTATGGTATGTATGGCATGGGAGCAAACATTTAATCAGTTGTTCTTTAATATTTATTAGCACGGTAGTTAATACTGATTATCCCAAATGATTTTTGTATGGCTCACAGAAATTTCACAATAACCAGGAAATACTTCCAGAAAGAGACTTCCCATGTTCAAAAATTTAGTGAGGATGTTTCAGTAAATACAGATATATTAAGGATTTTTTTTACTTTTTCAACAAAAAGCTTGATATTTTGAGAATTAAAAACAAATTTGTGAATGTCCTTCATGTCACAAAACAGATGTTAAAACAGCTTATGAGAGCCATATTTTTTTCTTGCAGCAGCCAGAGCAGGATTTATAAACATATACTGTTTTCCAGTTTATGTGATCAAGGTTAGCTGTGAGAAACTACTTTACTCTGTTTCCCAACTGAAATTAAGACCTGTGTCAGCCATAAATGTTGGGTATTTAGCACCTGAAAACATTTTTAATAACTGATCTAAGAAAAATTCAGTTCAAGATATGTGAATCATTGAATCCATGTGCAAGACATAAGTATTAAATGAAGTCTTATCTCTTTTGCGATAAGTTAGGTGACTTGAGTGATCTGAGGTTTCATACATTGCTATACTCAGAAAACAGTGATATCGCAATCTAAAAAAAAGAGGAAAACTATCCAAGGTTTTCCTTTTGTGTACTTCTTATAAAGTTTACTCTTCTTGTGATTCTGCACTGACTGATCAGCTGAAAAGTTCCTTAGAACTTCTGTTGAGCAGAGAACCGAATGTAGCAAATAACAACACCTTTCAATCATTCTTGCACAAAATAGTCAGTAAGGTCGTCACCATGTGAAAGGCACTCACCTTCACAAATTCAATGTGACACGTTCTCAGAAGAATATTTCACATTGTTAGTTCTGCATTCACCTTATGTAATCACAGCTCAGGTATTAACTAGATGTCAGTTCATCTCTAGGGAGGAAGCCTTAGTAGATTTAAAGTTGCTTCTACTATGTTTGCTAAGCAATGCCTGTATATATATGTCTTTGTACACACAGTACCTTATGTATTGCAGCAGGGACCTAGTGAGTTATACAGCAGAGGAGATTCAGATTTCTGCATCAACTTGGAGCTCTTTAATTCCTGTCAGTTATCAATGTTAATGTAATACGTACTGCATCACCAAATTCCAGCTTCAGACTGTAAAATGACTTTTTATCATTCTTACAACAGGTCCTGGGATTCCCATTTCTACTCTTTTTGAGAACCGTGGTGATAGAGGTACCGCAAATATACTGCCTATTTCTGAACAACTGGTATACTCCTTTACCTCTAATCCAGATGAAGGTCTTTTAATACAGTACTTAGAATTGTGATCAAAAGCCTTTCATCTTGTTTGGTGTTAAAATAACTAGTGTCTTTCTCGATTTGCTCCAAAATCCAAATGTGAATGAACACACCAATGCATTTATCTCAATTCCTGAGTCCAGCACTTTTATAGCATCCTGTTGTTTTTCCTGTTTACACACTATAGATAAAATGAACATGGGCAGCTCTTTATCTACTGAAATTTGAGTCAAACTTTGTAGAAAAAATTATTTTGAAATTTATATTTCTTTTCACATTTGGATGAACACAAGACTTTCTTTCTCATGAGGCAACACTATCTTGTACAAAAGACGATAGTGTACTGTTTAGAGTTTACAGTTTGACCTATTGTGCTGTACTAATTAGAATTTGGATCAATGATTTCCTGTGCAGCCATCAGTAGAGATGTCAGAGAAGAACAGAAGCTCTTTCAGATGATCTGTTCAAGTAACTACTTCAGACAAGGTGTAATTATTGACACAAAGTGTGATTTTCAGCAAGAAACACTCAGAGCCTTTATTCTTTAAGTAGCCTGTTAGTGAAGACTGTTTGCAACCAAGCCAAGCAGGAACTTTCTAACTATGAAAATATTAATTGTTCTGCAATGAATCTTCTTTCTCTTCTTCTTCTTTCTCTTCTCTTCTTCCTTGTTTTTTCCCTAAAAGTTCTCCAACTTTAAGCCTTCAGTTCCTGCGATGTTATGAAAACTAGCATGGTTCTGTATAAACATCAGTGATTTAGCATTCCCTTCCTTCCCCAATAATCAGTGGAAATGAGCTGGTGGTTGTAATGGTCCTTACAGTTCAGCCTGCATTGATAACCCACTGTTAACTGAGTGTTGTCTGACCAAAAGACACACAAATGCATAAGTAAGACAAATGTCACAATATTGTTAAACTAACTTAATCCATGGTGATTCTTGTAGAATTCAGTGAACTACAAGATCATATTATTCAGACTCTGGTAGTAGTTGGTACATCTTATTTTATAACCACTTAAATTTTTTTGCAAATGGAAAGGATAGGCTAATGTGTCTATTGCAATTATGGTATAGAAACACTGTGTTCTGGTATTTCTTTTGGTTTAAATAGATTTAAAGGTTTAATTACAGTGCATGCATGGATTTTTTATTTTTTTTTTTAATATTTGATCCATTGTTGTAGCTCTCTGTTTTTCCTGATTCACTCTTACCTTTTATGTAAAGGGCCTCTACTATCTTATGAAAATGTGCATTGTTTGAAATGCAACTAAGTGCCCAACTGCAGTTATGTGTTTCTTAACCTCTCTGCAGCAGAGAACAATTTCCTGTAATGGATTTTCACCACTGGTTTCATCATGCCTCCCTCTTCTGTGCTGTTATTCTTAGGAATAAAAACAAATTCAGGCTTCTCTTTGACTTCTTCATTACCTTTTTTGAATTAATTTTCCTTCAGTTCCTTGCTTTCATAATCTCTTCTGTGGTGCAAAACTATTTTTAGTAAAACCATTTTCATTGAAGTTGGCAGCATTTTAAAACTATATCATCCATGAATTTTAGTAGGAGACAGTTAAACTGACATAGATCAGTTTGGAAGTTCCTTTCAGGATGCCTAAAATTCAGTTGTGGTAATGGGAAAATTTCAAGAGTTTTGAGGAGAAGGATGGAAAAGGGTTCAGCTAAGTTTGCATGAGCATCCGAAGGCAGGATGATCTTTCAGCCATAAAAAAATCACTTGAATCTGCAAAACTTGTCAAGAGTACTTTGGAAGAACAAATTCCAGTACTATATTTCTGGCATGTCCTAAGCACTACCTAGCTCAATATATGTTGAGAGAAGAATACTTCTTGTACTTTTTTGAATGTTTCCAGAAACAAGGAGGAGGGAAAGGTAAAGGAAAAAAAGAAAAATCTCCTGCAGTTTTAAAAAGTTCTTTCATTCTGAAAGTGAAGCTAAGAAGCTAAAAGTCACAGATTTCCATTATGTTTCCAATATTCTTCATCTCTCACTACTCATGGGAAAACACATAAATAAACAAGACCCAGTGGATTCATAATAAACAGTTCTGCGGTCTGTCCTGTAAGTTAATTAAATTTTAAACAGTGATTTTTAAATTATGTAACTGTAAATTTGGTCTAAAGCAGGTAGAACAGTAAATGTTGATACAGTTTAGGTTTTTTAAAGAAAAAAAAGGAAAGAAAGGTTTACAAAGTGAGCAGCAATAAGGACAGTAAGATGGCAAGTCTGGTACTTTTGTATTGTACAGTGGTTGAATGAAGCTTTGCTGTAACTCCTTGAGAAATTGAATTTCCTGCATTACCCAGAAACAAGATTTTCCCTTAGGATTGTGTGCTTGACCACACTACCCAAAGGTCTTGGAGGTCAAACTGATGTTAGTCTGATGAGCGAGAGAGGAGATACAGGATTGTGTTTTGCACAGTGCCATGAATTTTGCATTTCTAGCTCCCCCATTTTACAAAACTGGGATGAGGGATCTGCAGGAGAAAGCTGTTTCTTCTTAACATGCGGGACTCTAACACTCAGAGGCAACATGTGAAATGATTTGCATTGCAAAATGTACATCCTATAAAAATCTAACGAGTATTTGTGCACTGCAATACCAGTGCTTTTCTTTCATTTAGCTATGTGATCAAGCCCAATTAGAAGTGTCTGAGTGGATTTCATTGCTCTGCTTGTAAAATTCACAGATTTCCTTTCTGTTCTAATAACACAAAGGAAAGGAATCTTAATTACTGAAGAGAAATTAACAATACATCTGTTAATAATTCGAGCATTTCTTTTACTTAGAACTCAGAGTATTGGAAGACAATTGGGAATTGCAGTCTGCTTTGCAAGAGATCAGACTGCCAAGAGAAGAAATTAATAAGCTTGAAGTGGATGGTATAAGTAAGAATTACACATCTTTATTGTACCTTTTTATTCTTACCATTGTAATATTTTGCCTTAATTTTGCTATAGTAAATATTGTCTTTCTGTAGAACAAAGTTGCCAGTCAGGTAGGCAAGAGGCCTGGTTCTGCCGTGTTCAATAACAGCTCATTTGTCCATGCCTCAGGGTATCTCTCAGTAAAATAGTAGTTAAAATACATTTGTTTCACAAGTTTTTTAAAAATCTTTAATACTATTGGAAAAGAGTTTAAATATTGTGTAAAAACAATATAATATTGTGGTAATAAAATGAGAAATGTAAACTGCTGTTCATGTGTTGCACATTATACCGACTTGCTTGCACTGTTCTTTTTAGTAGTGACTTACCAATAGTATTCCATGTTAAAAAATCAGTGTAAAGTTTCCTTAAAAACTAATAATCTTAAAACAGTTATGCCTTTCTAGGCACCTGGAAAAACTGATAACCTTGACTTTTGTGAAGTAATAATTTAATGCATAGCTAAATTTAAGTAAATGTGGCTTTCTTCAAATCTGTTCTTCAACAGCTCAATAGAAACAGTTAATTGCATCAGTTCTGTGATTCACAGTTCGTGTGTTGTGTACTATGTGCTGATTCATGTTCATATACTGTTACACCAGGGTCTGGATTATGCCTAGAGGAATCATTTCAACCATTAAGAATCTAATTTTGTCTTTTCTAGCTCTGTGGTACAAAATGCTTCTACCTCCACAGTTCGACAGATCTAAGAAGTACCCTCTGCTTATTCAGGTGTATGTAGCTCTTCCTTTGTTTGAATGTTGCTGTTTTGTTAGAAAACATACTTTCTCTAATTTAACAAAACCTGGAACATTTGCAACATTTTATAAAGCAAAAGCTAAACTACATAGTTCTGTTTAGTTTGTTGGGTTTTTTCAATATATTTTTGGAAGAGTAATTCATCCCAATGGAGATCGATAAGGATTTTAATCTTTGTGTGGTAAGGATTACTTTCTCACAGAAGGAGAAAGGCTAAAATCATGTGGGCTACTCCTTGTAGATCTTAGCTCTGTTGCTGCTTCTATTTATCATGAGACAGTCTGAAAGTATTGATTTCAGCTTTTCTAATATGAAAAACTACAAGAGCCTGCTTAATTTTATAAGAAGAAAACTAAGTCATGTGGACTTGATTGTTAAGAGCATTTGACATAATTTATTGCAGGCAGAAAAGGCAATGAAAATTGCAGTGGTGAAAAAAATTGAAAGAAAAAAAAGATGCAGAAAGAAGAGCTGAGTGGGTGTAATAAACTTTACATCATTTTTTATTAACCAGTGATGATCCAAAGGTCCAAAAATGCTAGGTATGTTTGAAGTTTAGAGCAGATGAGTCCTGTCCTTGAGGTCAAATGTGTAATTTGCATTCGGCCATTCTCATGAGAAGTGTCTCTGTATTGGTCAGCTATGTAGGGTGTGTTCTGCCTGCAGCTCCAACAGCACATGATATTCCCTACTGAAACAAATAAGGTCTGTGGATAGCCAAAAAGTGTAAGAAGCTGTATTTCTTTTTATTATTTTCTTTGGCATTACTAACTGCATGTGGAAATCAAATGCAAAAAAGCAGAAAAGCACCAAAAAGGGCTGTTACTCCTAAGGAATTTGGAGAGAGCGAAGAATTAAATCTTTGAGGGATGGCTCTTCCAAAGATTCCCCTTAGCACAAGCAGCTGATACTGTACTACTTAGTCTGAGCTGAAACTAATTATTTGCCTTAGGAAAAAGATCTAAATTATTAAAATAGATTTTAGATAGCAAAATCTCATAACTACATGAAAATAATAGTACATGAAAATAGAAAATTTGTTTACGGAGCTCTCTGAACCACAGTCATGTAGCAAAATACATGTGGAGAAGATGTTATCAGTACTGATAGCTATAGTCCAGTGCCAATAACCATTTATAAATATGTAAATATGAGTTGAAAATGTGTGAATTTTCTTCCTCAGATATGGAGGACCTTGCAGTCAGAATGTAAAGGAAACCTTTAGCATTAGCTGGATAACCTATCTTGCAAGCAAAGAGGGAATTATTGTTGCTCTGGTAGATGGCAGAGGGACAGCTTATCAAGGTGACAAGATTTTGCATGCAGTATATCGAAGACTTGGAGTTTATGAAGTTGAGGACCAAATCTCAGCAGTTAAGTAAGTAGATTATCTCCCTGTATAGCTGTTTTATTTGCATACCACTAAGTAGTAAAGTGAAAGAAATATTTAATTCTCAGCCTTTCTTTTGAAGACCTGAGGCCTCCAGGATATAAGACAAAAACACTTGGAAAAATAAAATATTAGTGTTTGCATGATATCAGTGAGGTTTTTTCTGGTATATTAAGTCCATGTACGACTAAGTCCACTTGCATTGCATAAGAGAATCATTAGAGGCTTCAGTCCTAAGGTTAAAGAAATACAATTGTCAGTGGTGAGAGGTAACTTAGGTAACAGTTGTTAGTGGTGAGAGGTATCTTAGCTGGAAATTGGATGTAGCAACCCAGGTTTTCACAGCTTTCTCTGCATGTTTGAGAGCACTGCCTGTACTTTTAAGTATGTGTGAGGAGGATATCTGTTCCTTCCTCTTTCTGCTTTGTGATAATTCATTTCCTCCTCAATGTTATAAATATAAATGCACCATTATCCTTTTCAGTGATAAATGAAACAGAATAGCTGTATATCATGTCAAGCTTTTCTATTATTCTATTATTTTATTTTCTATATTGAAATGTTTAGGAGGAGTGGCATACTTCAAATATCACAAGAATGCTTCTATATTATTCTGAATTGTCACTCAGACATAGAATATCAGAGGAAACCTAAACTGATTCTGCAATTGCAAAATCTGCTGAGACAGGCCATGAAAAAATGACCTCAGACTTCACACTTCCCAGTTTTCTGTCAGCACCTAGACTAAATTTTTATTCAGTTAAATGTAGTGCATTCCATCTTCCTGAGCTAACACATGGATTAAGATGCATGATTTTTAGAGAGCTTCTATGCTCTAGTGGGAAGTTCTTGGAGGGGCTTTTACTGTAGGTGGAGCCCCAGGGATTAAGACAGTAATATAACAAAACTGAATAACTTTTTGGCTTTTCTAACTGTCCCACCCGGATAGTATCCCACATTTTGGGTGTTGTCACTTCGCTTGGGCGTGTCCTAGAAAATAAGGCTACTATATGTCCCGATATGTATCTGAACCTATTGTGTTTATCTGTCACTCTCAACCCTTTGTGGTCTTTTGTCTCATCCTCTTTCCTTTGCTAAAGGTGTTGCTAATACATCTTCAGAAATACAGTTTCCACATTCTGATGCAGGATATTTGTAGTAAACCTAATATTTATGGTTCTCTTTGACCTGTTTGACTCTTGAGAGCATAAGAAGTTTTGCACCTTTTATACATTTCAAGCTTATTACCTGCTTGGAGTGTTAGTAGATGATTCCTTCGTTATTTTTTTTTAATTAAAGAGCTTTTTACTTTACAGGCACATAAAAACTTATTTCTACAGAGAATCCCTAATGTCCTCAGAATTTGATACTGTTCCTCTTGAGAAATCAAAGTATTAACTCACTGCGACATCAGTATGTTGATTATCTTGCACAATAAAGTCTGAATGTTTGGCACCTAAAGCAATGAAAATTATCCTTTTCCACTGGAACAAAAATTATTATGAATAAAGTATTCATTTTAGTATTTTGTTATTCTTTCAGGAAAAGTTCTTCCCTTTCAACACCTATTGATTGAATAGTTGATACTTTGTAGAAATCAGATATGCTATGTTGATTGTCACTTTGCTCAAATTGGTGGGATATCTGGAAAAAAAAGCCAAAGAAAAACTATTTTTTGCTAATTTGTTATTGTACTAGCAATTTCTGTAATAATGCATTTATTTTTGTGATTTTATTTTCCACAGAAAATTTATAGAAATGGGCTTTATTGATGAAAAACGAATAGCAATATGGGGCTGGGTAAGTGATTGGAGTTTTTATATCTATCTTAAATAATCCTGCAGTATATCTTTTTTATTGTTCTTCCTGGTTCTGTCTTAACTATGTATAAAATTTCTTCTGCAACTGTGTGATGGTATTGCCAAAGGGGATGGTTCCTGCTGGTACTTATATATGTGCAATTGCAACAGTTCAAGCCCCCAAAAATGAATCTTTGGCAGCTCAAGAGATAATTTTGAAAAGCTCATATCTAATACATTGTTGGACTGTTAAGACATTTTAATTTGCTTTACTTTTAACTTAGGGACTTAATGGCATAGTGTCAAAATTCCAATATTGTCCTTTCTGACCTGAGATTAAAATAGTGAGAAAAGTCCTATGACTATCTCTCACCAGAAAATGTGACCCCTGCATCATCCTGAATCACTGTGTACTTGGCTGGCTTTGCAATGGTCATCAGGGATGGATCTGGGTCTGAGGGGTTTACAACACTGACAGCTTCACCAAGACATGGAAAAATTGGACAGTATGGGAGTCATTTCAAATTATTAGCCAGTCTATTTTTCATCTTTTTTTCTTCATGTATTTTAATTTGTAATGCTCCCAGAACCTTTAATAGCCAGATGCATTGCCTGATCTTAGCACATTAGCAGAGCTGCTAAAATCTTTAAGCTTCTACCAACCAATATTTAAGTTGCTTTGGTACAGTAACTACTGTAACACCAGAATAAAACGAGTACCATATGGTGAAATTAAGTGATGCAAACACTTAGGAGTGAATAATTCTAAAGTGATATTAGGTAATTTATGGCCTCAAGAAAATATTTTCTTTTTTAATTCACATCATATTTTATTTCACCACAGTGTTTCCAGAACCAACTAAGAGCTTGGACACATTGTATTCCAGTAGTTGATATAATATTAAAATAAAGGCATTACGGCCAAGCCTCTCAGTCTTTTTTTCCAATTTATTGTATCATTTCTTGGTCTGTAAGCTTTGAAAGGAGTTGAAAGGTGTTTCCTTATTTGTAGGCTGCAGCTTGGCAAGTGTGCATGAACTTGTTTTCAGACTCACCAAACTCTTCAAGATGGCAAAGGCTCTTAAATAATTACTAAAGCAATTTGGGTTGTGAATCCAATCTCTCTCGGCCTGTTACACGGAATATATTTATCTGCTCAATCCTAATCCCTTACTTTTTAGCCTTGTGGATCTTTTGAAAGATCAAATGAGAAAATCAAATGAGTTGGAAAAACTCCACAAATTACTGTTTCTACTACTATATCCCTCATTATAATTTCAAGCTGGAAAGTCAGGAGGATAGACTAACTTAACGTCTGTACAAAAGAAAAAATATTTAATAATTCTGCTTATTTCCATTAGTCTTTAATATGCTACTGAAGTAGTCTTCAGAATTTTTCATGACACATTATATTTTTATTCCTTCCTCCATTCCAAAGTAAACAGAAACCCATTATTTTGCAAAGACCCTATATGAGTTTTTCCAAACTCAGTTCCACATCCGGTGGAAAGCCAAACCAAAGGCTTTTTAATTACATTATTTTCCTGTCTCAGCAACCAGCCCATTCAGTTTCACAGACCTATTCTTATATCCAGACTTACTTACTGCTCTACCCTTCTTACGGCCATGAACTTATTCTTCCTTTCTGGATCCCAGTTTGAGGAATCAGGCCAGAAAGTACTAGGAACAGTGGCAGGCAGTAGGGAAGAATGGCTCCATTCTGAAGTAGATGAGTATATTAGTACTGATGATTGCTTCAATATGCTAATCCTTAGCAAAATCTAGGTAATTTGTTAAGGGAGGGGAAAAAAACTCCAACTCTTCTTGGAGGTGCACCTTGAAAGGGTGAGAGGCAATGAAAACAAGCTGCCAAAAGGAAAGTTTTTAGGAAAAAAATATGACAACATTGATCACTGTTGAAGCAGATTGAGTGGAGAGGATATGTGCTATGGACGTGACAGCAATCAGTATCATTTACATCTGAAGTTAGCCCTGTTTTGAGCTACAGGTTGTGTTAGATTACTGTGAAGGATGCTACCAAATTAAATTTCTTGGTAATTGTAAGTGGTAATAAAAACAGTATCCTGTGATAAACATTGAAAAAGTAGCAAAAAAAGAAGTAATTTGATAAAATTGTCTAATCTCTCTCACAAGAAATTACATCAGATACATTTGATATCAAGTAACTAATTTCCAAAAAGCCTCAACCTTTTGTTACTTCGTCCTCTATGCATTCAAAACAAATGAGTTAATTTGGAATTAATTTATATGAGTTTGATTCAGAAAACAGAATGATACTTTGCTAGCAATTTTAAACTAACTGTGTTTTCCTCCTAGTCCTATGGTGGCTATGTAAGTTCTTTGGCACTTGGATCTGGCAGTGGAGTATTTAAATGTGGAATGGCTGTGGCTCCTGTTTCTAGCTGGGAATATTACGGTATGGAAACTTGTCATAAATACTGACTTGGAAAGCAAGATGTAGCATTTAATGACTTCTTAAATTAAATCATTGCAAGAGACTGGCAATTTGAAACATAAAGACATTCAAATTACCTAGATTTAAAACTTTTAAGACCTTAAGTTTAATGTTTTTCTTGCTGAAAATAACTGAGTGCAACTGGCAGTTTGGAACTGACTTTGTCACAAAGAAGGTATGTCTGGATAATTCCATATGCACTTCTGAAACAGTAAGTATATAAAGCCCTCTCAATAAACTACTATTAAGGAGTGATCTGCCTAAAAATCCTGTTGAAATTATCACTGAATTCAGAAACAGCTGAACTGATTTATCTGCCAGTAACAGTATCATAGTACATTTCAGCTTCTGACACCGCAGATGACCTGTGTCAGGAATCAGTGTTGCTGATGACTGCAAAATTGTTTCAAAAAACCAGTGGAAAAGAGAAGGATTATTGTGTTTGATATCATTTTTTTTTTTTAATTAAACACTTTTCCTTTTAAATGTTTCTCAGTTCCCTGAGAAATTTTGTATTGTTGTGTTATGATACATATTTTTATTTATGCTTATGGAATTAGGCTCCAAACTGCTGAGAGGAAACAACACTGGAAGTATATTCCCAAGGCCTTCCTGTGTTTCCTGAATAAAGCAGACACATACTCATACTTGCCGACCTGTTAAGCTTTTGGCATGGTGTTAAGGAACCTTAGTGTAAAAAAAAAAATCATGGCATGAATATTTTCAATGAGTAAAATGTAGCACTTTGAACACATTTACTTAGCATATGGTCGTTTTCTAAGGAGTCTTGGTTATGAGAAAATTTTTTTGGTTAAATGGGAAAGATTCCTTCCCTGACTGCTAGCACAGACATTCCTTGTATTTATGGTGTTTTGCAAACAAAGGGGAAAATATTTGTATGACACAGGAAGCATAGTCTTCGTGTTTTCACTGGCATCAAGATTTTTTTAAGACATTTTTCTCATGATCACAAAATTATTTCCAGAATGCAGGCATAAAGAACTGCTCTTGCAAAAGTCCCTTAATAAAAGATGATTATAAAAATTTGTTGCAGCATCACAATTCAAATGAAGTTTTTAAGTTCAAAAAGATTAGACCTGCACCATTACAATACCTACATCAGCTGAATTTTCAGATGGCAATAAAAGAATCTTGCTGAAAACACCCTGTAAAATCCAAACAGGCAAATGTACCTCCACTAAGGAAGGAAGGAAACAGAAGGAAGTCATGAGTCATAGCTTTTTGGCAAACAGATCATGTTAACATTAGGGTGAGCTGTGCTAGGGGCAAAACTACAGGATGTTACATCCATAAGTCTCTGAGTAGTATCAGTATGTCAGAGGATGCAGTAGCCCCTAGAACTTCTCAATTCTGTCCAGCCCTCTTTTAGATGCACAGATGAGATTCTGGACCATAATCTTTTGTCAGATGCTGTCCCATCCCCCTCCATTTTGACTGAGTGATAATAACAGCTGAACAGTTATAAGATGGAAATGGAAAATTCCATTAAGAACAATGTATAGTTAAAAGCATTATATCTGTGACTATTTTATTAAAATTTATTTAAATTCATCTGCTTTTCCTTTCTCAGTAATTGACAAGCTAAATCTTTCACTTAGTCATTATAATGCAATTCTGCTGACCTCTGTGGACTTGTTGTAGCTATATTGGTAAAAGAGTGGAAATTTGGCTCAGAATAGTGTAGAAATGCCAGCCATTCAGAAAGAGTCTGTTTTATTGAAAACTTGAGCCCGATATGGTTGTTTGACACTGTGTTGACAACAGATATTGCACATTTTCTGTTTTCATGGAATGATAAAGGATTTTGATAAAAGATAGGGCACTTAAATTTTTTTGGTACTTATATTACAAATTATCTTCAGAAGCCTTGCTTTGCTGATCTGGGAGACATAGTACACGTCTTTACTCTCAGTGGTAGAACATGTATATGTATCATTTGATACATAATAAACTATGGGAACAAGAGCATATTGATTCATTTTCTTTTCCTGGGAAAAATTTCCTCATTTCTATTTTCTAACAATTTTTTTCTAATACAGTGTATCAAACTGGACAGCATAGACAATCCCAATTCCTTAATGATTACAATGGCCATCACCTGTTTTTTGAGAGGGAAAGATGATAGCTCTTGGTCAGAAAGCCCTGACTCCCTTAAATAAATAAAATCCTTCTAATACTGCAGCTTGACTTCTCAGTGTGTGTCAGTTACTCTTTCAAGGCAAGGTCATAAAGAAAGTAATCTGGTAGTAGCAGCTGCTGCGTCAGTTTTCCATAAATTTTCATAACAGCTTCTAGTTAAAGTACAAATACCCAGGCAGCTCAGAGAGAGATGTTCTCTGATTTCTTGGTGATGGATACCATTTGATTATTCACATTTATTTTGTCAAATCTGTTACCAGTCTTTATTGTAGTTAGAAAAAAGAATTGAACAGAGACTTGAAAAGAGTCTGTGTCTGCATCCTTTCCTGCTTCCCCTGGTTGCTGCATGTATACATTCAATAGGAAAAGTACAACATTCATATCTATATTTACTGTTAATACACCTACAAATCCTCAGCTCCTCTTTTTAAGGTGTCAGAAGTAGTCTGTGTCATCTTTCCACCATGCACCTTTATTGGCTCACTGCCTTATTCAACTGACTTCTGGAGTTCAACCCAACAGCAAAAAGCAGTATCAATTAATCACCTTTATCCATAAGACCTAGATGAGTATAAAACCACTATTTCTGCAAAGGTGGTTTGAAGAACAGTAAATAATTAGCCTTCATAGTTGATTTTTAAAATATGTTTAAATTTGGTGTGTCATGAGGAAACCAAGAACACAGTTAAACATCATTTAATTTCCTATGTGTCACTGAAGCCACAAAATGTTTTCACTGTCTTTATCTATAGCTTTTTTCTTCGTTAATTTCAGCATCAATCTACACAGAGCGATTTATGGGTCTTCCTATAAAGTCCGATAATCTTGAGCACTATAAGGTGAGAATTCTGTTTCTCTGCTGATCTGCCTTAAATTTGAATCACACTTCCATGGATAAGTGGAACTATGAAGAAAGAAAGTGGCCCACCAGCTTTCATGGTACAGTCCTTTTGTAGCAAAGCTACAGCTGTGAAGTTGTTATCTACATAATTAATGTGGGTTTGTATTTATAAATCTCAAAAATGCTAACTGGAAGTTCTTATTTTCTTACTTGTACAAGTCAGACTGTCTTGCCAGTGCAATTAGCCTAGAAGTGAACTCAAGTGAGAGGGATTAAAATTTTGATAAGGTTTTGGTTGGTACTGTTAGCTGTGGTATGCAAACTGTTTCATGCAAATTTAGCTCTCTAATAATAAGATCATAAGTATACTAAATGATCAGAGCAGCTTCCCCTACCTAGAACAGGTTGCCATTCTTTTCTTCACATTGATAGGAAGTCTGCAGTTTCCTCTAGCAACACACATACCAGCTCTGGATACGGAGAGGCCTGAATTAACATCCAAAGAACTTAGTGGAAACGCTCCTGTTAAAGATTTGGATTGTGTTCTCAGTGCATATTTCCATCCCAACTCAAAGAACAGAAATACCCAATACCAAACAGCCCTGGTGGAACTGTCTGGGTAGCCAGGAATTAGAGCATTCTGGGAAGGACATGACAAGTGCTGTTTATTGTATGAATTGGCCCTGAGAAAAGACACTAAATAAATATCAAATCTGTTTCTGATAGTGTAGAGACATTTGTGGTAGCACAGAAAGCTACCTGCTGCAAGCCAAGCTTGCACAGGCATCTTTTATGGACAGATATCATCAATATGGCGCAGATTAATATTTTTTCTCCTGCTAGTGCTTATCAGAACACATGCAAATGATGTAAGAAAATTTATTTATAGGTATTCCTGCCCTGAAGCCAAAGTCACAGATCACAGATGCACAGGATCATTTAGTTTGGAAAAGACTTCTGAGGTCATCAGGTCCAACCATTAACCTTACACTGCCAAGTGCACCACTAAACTGTGTCCCCAAGTGTCACATCTACACGTCTTCTAAGTATCTTCCCAGATGGTGCCCCAACCAGTGCCCTGAGCAGCTTGTTCCAATGCCTGACAACCCCTTCCATGAAGAAATTTTTCCTTATATCCAGTCTAAACCTCCTCTGGCACAATTTGAGGCCATTTCCTCTTGTCCAGTTGATTGTTGTCTGGGACAAGAGGCTGACGCCCACCTGGCTAAAACATACTTTCAGAGAGTCATAGAGAATGTTAAGGTCCCTCCTGAGATAAACACCCTCAGCCATTCCTCAGAGGACTCACTTTTCAGAGTCCAGCTCTGTTGCCCTACTCAGGATACACTCCAGCACCTCAATGTCTTGGGCCCAAAACTGAACACAGGATACAAGGTGTGGCCTCACCAGTCCCCAGTACAGGGAGATGATCACATCTATGTTCTTGCTAGCCACACTACTTTTGGTACAGACAGGAAGGCTCTGGCCTTCTTGGCACCTGGGCATGCACTGGCTCACATTCAGCTGCTGTCAACCAATACCCACAGGTCCTTTTCTACCAGAGAACTTTCCAGGCACTCTTTCACATGGCCCCTAGTGCTTCATAGGGGTGGTTGTGACCCAAGAGCAGGACATAGCACTTTGCTGTGTTGAACCTCAGAGAACTTTGGCTTTGGGTCACTGATCCAGGTTGCTCAGATCCCTCTGTAGAGACTGATGTGAATATATATATATATATATATATATATATATATACACACACATACATACACACACGCATATACAACCATATACATGATTTCTATTGTAACCTCAGATTGATATGAAGTCACTGCTGTCATGCCAGTTCAACTGTTTGATTGTTTTTCTACTAGGTAATGAAAGCCTTTCAGCATATAAATAAGTGCTTTAAATTGAAGTTGCTGAACTGTTCTTTTTTCCTCTCAACAGAATTCAACTGTGATGGCAAGAGCAAAGAATTTCCAAAACGTAGAGTATCTTCTCATCCATGGAACAGCAGATGGTGAGGTTTGCAAATGGCAGAACAAACACAGAGCCAGAATCACTTTGTTTGAAAAACATTAAGCATCTATCTTTGATTGGGTCAGGACTTAGATCTTTGGTAGATTTCCATATGACCTATCATAAGATGCTTACTCATTCTTAGTAATGTCAACTGTATCACTTGATAATTAGTGGACACAGCTAAATGCACTATAACTTTATGCTTTGTGGTATTAACACATTTCAACAAACAATCTCTTTTTTTTTCTTTTTAGATAATGTACATTTTCAGAACTCAGCACAAATTGCAAAAGCTCTGGTTAATGCCCAGGTGGATTTCCAGGCAATGGTAAATAAAAGACTATTTTTCATTGTGAAAAGTGGTTCATAACTTTATCAATAAGCTCATCTGACATTTGGCAGTGTTTCTAACAACCCTGTTGAACTGAACATGCTTCAGAATTTGGCAATTACTAGTGTATTTGTTATTCTTCATAAACATCTTCTCAATTTCTTTCCCAAATTATTTGCCTGCTCTTTTTTTTTTTTTCCTTGCCCTTTGGATGCTAGCAGGATTTTTCTCTTGTCAAGAATAATTTGTAAGCTTTTAAAATGAGCCAGGGAGAAGAAGAATCCAGCATTCTTATGAGTGTTCTTCATACCTGGTAAAAGAGGAAGATGAAAGAGTTGAGCTCTGGGGCCAAGTTGTCACTGGTTGTGGTAGATTCCATCTTGAACTGGACTTGTCTGCCACAGGCACAAAGTGAAACAAGCAAAAATGGTGTAAGGTATCCAAAATTATATCCAGAATCAACAAAAAAAAAAAGTTCTCTGAAAAACTTGCATGGGATACCAGATACAGGCAAAGAGAGAAACATGTAAGCAAGAGGTTGCAGGATGTAAAGGAGAAATAAACAGGGGAAATGTAGATCTGATTTCTATGCCATTTTTTTCAGAGCTAATAACCAAAGTGTTTGTCTGCTATCAAACATTCTGGCCTTCTGCCTGAGTCTGGTTTCACAGGGCCATGAACTCCCCAAAAAGGGATGACAGGGGTTTGTAGGCCCTTTAGTGCATTACATGTTTTCTGCCTCTTTTGCTGATTTTTAGCAAATCTGAGTTATAACTTAAGTATCTGGAATACTGTACGCAGTTGTAATCATTCTGGTTCAGCTACAGTGGAAGGGCAGATATGACTGAGTTAGCATAATTCATATGTGTGTTTTATTTCCAGTATACCACTCACAAGGTTCATGGTCCTGCTGTAATGCAGGATGTTTTGAACAGATCTCAAACAACATTTAGCTGAAATTTTGTTGCTTAGAGCGCAGTACTTATTCCTAAGCAAGAGTCTTACCCCTATTGTCCAGGCCATGCAGCAGGTCAAGGTGATTTCATCCCTAACAGCATCTCAAGGCTCTTTTCCCTGACTTGATACAACTGGCCTGTAAGTACTGAGGCAGTAATGCTTACTCTTAAATAACAGAAGTCTTAGAATTTTTTTTCAGCAATAATAATGTATTGGGAACTGATGAAAAGAAAATTATCAAGTTCCTCCTTTTTCTTGAGCCATCCACTTTCTTATATATAGCAATAAAATACATTTTTTGTATTGTTTAACTCTTTCAGAATTGAATACATAACATAAGGGGTTTATGTTTTGTTTTTGTTTTTTCTTTCAGTGGTATACTGATCAGAACCATGGAATTCCAGGCCTTTCCAGCAAACATCTCTACACACATATGACCCACTTCCTCAAGCAATGTTTTTCTTTGTCAGAATAAGTAGGCTACTCAGAGCATGCTAAGGCATCTGAGACATCTTTGGGAGAATGAAATTACAGGAGCACCCAAGTTGTATAGTTTTCAGGTGAATTGATCACAGGAACTTTGAAATTTTTAACTTGATGTTTACATCCACTTTTGATATTGTATATTTGCAAAGGTTATGGTAACAAATGTTTTTACACATTTGGTACCTGTTTGACAGAAAAAATAAAATCAGAATGTAAAAGATCTTGTCCATCTATTGCTGACTTGCTTAAACATACATTCTGCAGTGCAAGAAAGGTGATTCACTGCAAATGCACACTGTCAGATTAATATGAATGTAGATCATATTTACAGATCTGTAAAATGGGAAAGAACAAAAGAAGCAGTGCAAGTACCTAATAGGCATCCTCAAAAGAACCAGTTTCTCAAAATTTATTTCCAGCTTTTCCTAAAGAATCCAAGAGATAGGAACACACAATATTCAACACTGAAGTTTGGATACTTATTGAGAATATTGAATGTATTCAAATTTTACTCAACTGTTATTTGAAATCTTAATTCTGCAAAACTCTCAGTGTTCAGGTTTAAACATGAAAGCAGGACACTCATGATAATTATCATATATCAGTGGGTTTTTCGCCTGTATTCAAAGTATGTGAGTTATATTGACTTGTTTTTAATTTCTAATCATCACCTCAGCATTCAAATTTATGTCAATGTCATTCATCCCAGACTGGAGGGGAAGGATCAAAGGACTGTGCAAGCTTTCTTTGCCTTGTTTTGAGTCAAACTATTTTAGGGAGTCTTTAAAAAATGCTGGACGCTAATAGTGATTGGAATACTTGTATTCTTTTCATTAGTAATTAAATCAGTCCTGTCATAATATAAAAATATTGACAAGATAATTGGCAAGAGATCCATTGTAGATTTAACAATTCCTTGGTCATGTGTTTAAAAAATTCTGAATTAGACTTGTGCATAAGAACCATGGTCTTTCTGACACAATCTCTGCTATTAGCTGTTGAGAGTGCAAAATAACCTGAAATATATTGTATTGCCTTCTCACAAAGTAAACTGCTTCATAACTCTCAGTCAGAGATCAGTTGCTGCTTCTTTGTGGAAAAGGAAGGGGTTTCATTTGACTTTCTTGACAAAAACATGGGGTTTGGCCAAAATAATTAAAATGTGGAAGTGATTTGCTATGTAACAGCTTCCTTCGTTTGTTAATGGCAATATCAAATCTGATTTTCCACACATGAGAACATTCCTTAGATACATCTTTATGTAAATGTAGTTGCCAAGCTGTTTGTAATGGTTAAATTATACTTTGATGGGAACTCTTCAGAAAATACTCAATTAGTTCAGGTTTTTTTGGAAACACTGCCAATTACGTGACGTTAATGAGCTTTTTGTTGGTAATGTAATTAAAATTCGACTGCTATAATGGCTAAAGGAAAAAATTATAGCTGTAAGAAAGTTAACATTAAGCAAATATAACATGAAGTGGGCCTAATTAGATGTTGATTATATGGTCCTGTGTGCATTTGCTGCACGCAACAGTAGTCTCAGCAATGCGGTTATCTTATATCTTAAATAAGGAATACAATTCAGTTGAAATACTGAGATTTAACTCTCAGATTTTTATATTGATGCAACACCATGGAAATCATTGCAATGTTGTGGTGAAAGAGAGAAAAATTAAGCTCTTATCTCAGATGCTTAAAGGTTTAAGATACCTGAATATTTCAGTGAGAATCTAGAGTTAATTTCCAAAAAAGCATGGTATCAATCTGACATAAATATCAATATATTAAGGTCACTTTCAATTTCTGCACCTTTATTTTATCTATTCTTTTGAAAATCCTCTAAATTCTGGAAATTTGGGCAGATAGATTGGCCCTTTATCAGTACTGTAAGTAATAAAATGATGCAATATATTGTTCACACCCTGCTCACAGGTCTGTTGTCTCAAGGTTTTGGAAGTATTTGAAATAAGGGACATTTCAGGAAAATCTGTGAAATAAAATAACAGAAGGTACCTCTTTCTCAAGGGATGCATTAGCTATTTCATTATTAATCTGCCCTGAGGTCTGTTTGTTTCCTAAGGCAGAGTACTCGTCTTCCAAACTGTTCACCATCTACTTTGGCTTGTAGGCAGCAGTTGTGGGGATAAAAAAAAAATTTAAATAAATGCAGTTGCTGCCAACATTTTTCCTTCATTGTTTTTCATGTTGTTAATTTCTTTGCCTTACACAGTGTTCTTGCCAAAGAATGGGAATATGTCTCCAGCAGAGTGTGACATTTACACTGAATTGCTGAAATAATGTCTAACCTGAAAGCTTTATGATAGAGCAACCATGTATTTTGATGACCTGGGAGAAATTGCCCTAGGATGCTGTGAGTGTCAAAAAAAGCCACTTAAAAATACATCGACATCAGATTACTGGCTGGCCTGTGCTTACAACAGGTAATATCACAGTCAATCACTAGAAATAGTGCAAAGAACTGCAGACCTAAAGTCGCACTGTAACAGAATCACAGAATGGCTGGTGTTGGAAGGCAACTTCAGAGGTCAACTTACTCCACTTCCCTGTTCACATGGGGCTACCTACATCCTGTAGCCCAGGACTCTGGCCAGATGCCTTTTGAATATCTAAAACCCATCTGGACGCTCTACAACCTCCCTGGGCCACCTCTGCCAGTGCTTGGTCACCCTCATAGTGAAAAAAGGGCTTCCTTATGCTCAAACACAGAACATTCTATGTGTCAGTTTGGGCCTGTTGCCTCTTGTTCTGTCATTAGGCACCATGGAGAAGAGGCTGGCTCAATCTTCTTTGGAAGATATCATCCCTTCAGTTATTTATATATGGTGATGAGATTCTCCCAAGCTTTTTCTTCTCTAGAAAGAGAACATGTTCCATTCTGCCTCGTCTGCAAACACAATCCATGTTACAAGCATTACCCTGGACATTCACTGGACAGTTATTTGCTCCATTCCACTTCAATCAGAGAGAAGGGCCTTAGGAGGCTACAGGATAGGTTCTTTTGTAACAGATCTCCAATGGTTGAAAAGTTGAAAAGTTGAAAGGGCTTGTCCTGAGGCATCAAGGGAAAGCTAACAATGTGAATAAAAAGTGTATATAACTACACTGCAAACATAGAATATGATGTGTAAGAGCCAACACTAGGACACAATTTGATGTGAGCTAAGCTGTGAACATCCTCAAAATTTTGCTTCCCACTTTCAAATGTTTAGAGGATCTGGTTTTCAAAAAATGCTGAGCACTTCCTGTTCTTTTCTCTTTTGGAAAACATTCTCACACTTCAGATACTTAAACATACCATTTCAGACAATGAAACATGAGTCTTTAAATATCTGTCATATAAACAAGGTATCCAAGCCTCTGAAGATAGGACATAGCTGTTCTGAATTAGGTAGACAGGCTTATGATGAAATAGCCACAAATACAGTTGTTTACAAGCCAGTTTCCACTGTGAATCATTTCCAGCTTTTACAAATTGAAACTAGAGCTGAAAAGTAAAAATTGCTTTATTCTAGGAGCTGAAGTGTACATAAATAGTAGAAAGTCACTGATTCCACTCCAGACCTGTTTTCATCATCTACCTTATTCGTGCTGTGTGAGCTGTGCACATGAAAGAACCTGCAATCCTTATACTTCAGAGGCAGACCTACATGATTTGTTTCACATGGGATTACTGCAGCTGCAAGAAAGAAAAGGCCTGAAGAGAAACTTAGCAGAAAACCAGTCAGGTTCTAGAATATGGTTGATGTTATACTCATTTTACTCAGATATCAAGTCCAATTCAGACTGCATTCAATAGTTCCCAGTTTGTCAGTCAGTTCCAATTACAAGGCACAGCTGTTTAGAACATTTTATATAGTCATTTGAAGGCTCTATATTTAATCTGAATAATTCATAGTATTTGCTAAGAGCATTTGGTATTACTTTCAATTATGAACATTGTCTTCTCAGAATGTAAAATAACTAGTACGTATTTGGCCAGCTCTTCTGCTTGCGCAAATTGATGCAGCTCCATTGACTTGCAGTGAAGCGATTCCAACTTATGTGAGTAGACAGCGTGAGTTACAGCACAGTTACAGTGACTGTGGCTCCTGAGGTACAAACCACTTAGCACTCCTGGCAGAGAGCATGGAGCTGCATGCTGTCAAAAGGCCTAGAGTGCCCAAACTAACCCTCCATTTCAGAAAGCCATTCTTGCTCCCCAAAGGGCGGCTGTACAGCTGTACACATACATAGGCACACACTGTGTGTGTTATGTGCAAGCACACATTTATGATGTAACCTGGTGTTTTATGTGTGCATGTGTTTACACATATGTTCCTCCTATATTGGTTCCCATTCTCAGAAGGGGAATGCTCTTTGTGATTACCATGTAACAAAGACAGCAAAATGAAAGGGGCTGCAGGGACCAGCCCTCTGAGCTCACAGCTGACAAGCTTAGGAGAGAATGCTTTCTGTATAATAAAAAAAAGTAAAGGGTGTGGGCCTGTAGTCATACCCCAAGATACATCCTCCTCCCTTTAGACATGTAATGGATAATAATATAATAGTAAAAAATATTTAATGAAGAAATACACAAAAGAATTTGGTGGGGATACTCTTTTGAAAGCATTTGATGAGTATTTTTTTACTTTTTACTGTCAAAAGCCAGCAAATTCCTAATTCATTAAAATATTCAAATCTTGGCAATTTTGATCAGATGATGGTACAGGAAGCTTTGATAAATTCCAGATACAGTGAACCCAACCACTCCAATTGAATCATGAGAAACGTGAAAATTTCCTGAAGGCAGGCCACTTTCAGCTTCTTTCTCTTAGTCTGACTCAAAGTATTGTCTCATTTGAGAACACTGATCTAGAGGACAGTGAGGTTGCCCTTAATTTTTGCCAGGAGGTGCCAACTAACTGGTGTATTTTAAAACGTGAGAGGAACAAACCTGAGTGTATGTGCATATCTCATACACTCGATATAATTTTGTTTGGAAACTGTTTTTTGCTGTGGTCCTGAAATATATACTATAGATTCAGTTATGGCAACAGAGGGTTGCGTGGTTCTTGATTCGCAGTTCACTTCTTTCCTGTACATTTTCTGTGTACCACTTGAAAAACAAATAACTGGTCACCTTCTAGATGCTAGATGACCTGCTGGATGGTACAGCTCTGTGACAACCTGCCCAACTAGGTGCAATGAGGTGCTCTGTCTCACTTTTTTGTTCTGGAATCATCCTAATGTAAACGAGGAACTTTATATGACACAATAAACTGAGATAAACAAAAAGGTAAAAGCTGTCTGTTTCTTGGCGGAGAGGATATTGTCTCATATTCCGTATTGCCTCTTTCCAAAGTATTTTTAACTCAGCGTGCAGAGAGAGGATTGTAGCAATCCATGCATGTGTGTGTCCTCCTGGTGCAGCAGCTGTGGAAAGGGCCCTTTGATCCCCATCTGCTGCATTGCCCGGGAACTGCAGGATGCGCTGGTGGCCGCCGCGGGAGCCGCCGAGTGACCCACCCCGAGGACTGGAAATGGGGAAGAGTAAACCATGAATCTCATAGATTTATTCAATAGCATAGAAAAATTACCCTTAGCAAAAAATTAAATTTTATTATGTGGATTGTGTAGTGAGACTTAATGTTTCGCTGAACCCCTACCATGGTACCACAGCCAGGTATTTAGGATAGAGCTCTAGGCAGGATCCAGTAAATTTTGTTTGCCATTTTAATATGTTTATTAAGTTTATACACTACCTCAATTGTATCTTATGGGCTATGCCAATCTGGCTGTGGTCAGTCAGCAGTAAATTGCCTCACTGAAACGCATTCTTTGCTGGCTTCAAGGAGCAGTGTTAGGGGAAATAAGGTTTATTGTATAATGTATGTGCCTTGTGCCACAAACCAGACTGTGAGGCACTCCAGGCTGGAGTACAGGCTGTCATTAACATTTAGTGAGATGTCTACTGCGAGTCCAGAACCTTTCTCCTGCCTGTTGCAGTCTCTGTGTTGTCACCGCATGGATGATCATGGCTTTCTTTGGCAATGCTGCCCCACCAGAGCTATGACATTGTCTCCATTGAACAACAATAGTTGCACAGAACAGGCATTAGTACAAATCTCAAATCTGTTTTGTTTAATGTTTTTCCTTGTAGGAAACAGAAATGTGAGCAAATGGTTTATCTTGCATGAATCTTTGGACCACTGTATGAAACTCAATTTATAGTGAATGTTTGGCATATAGTTCTCAAGTGAGTATGAATTGTCTTACGGTAACATTTACAAATTTGGAATTTTACATCTAAGGCTAATCAAAACATTTTATAAAATTTCACCTCTGCAAGGCATTGCACAGTGGGTAGCTGTCGCTGCAATATTTCACATTTCTTCATATTCATTATATTGGCACAAGATCACTTGAAGAATCATTCAAGGTCTTTGGGAAAGTTGTGCTTATTTTTAACAGTGGATTAAATTTATAAACTCTGATTTAAAATTGATAAGTGAAAACAATGCTATTGATGTCTATAGAATCAGAATTCTAAATATTAAATGTGGCAAATCAGAAATTGGAGAAATTGCTGCCCTGATCGCAGGCACCTTTTGTCCACTGTTTGTCATGTTAATGCCCTTCTATTTGATATTTACTACTTTGGACATTGCTACCTCACTCCTTTTGCAAATCCGTGTTAGCATTGATGTCATAAAGTAAGCAGAATGAATGTGTGAAATTGCTTGTAAAATTATCAAATGAAATGAATAGCAAATATGATGACTTTTTTTTTAAGTTGAATAAGGAAACTGTCAGCAATGATGCACTCCTGTAATGCTTACTAGAGCTGAACAGTATATATATAAGTCTGTGCAAAAGAGGCAGCTAGGCAGAGCTCAGGATCCTCAAGGCTTGCCATAGTTGCAGAAGAGAGAGTAGCTCTTTCTGCAACTGCCACGTATCACTTCAAAGTATAATAAGGTAAGATTTATATCAGCTACCAGTTATTTATTTGAGAAAGCTGAGTGCATTATCTGCATTGTGTTGCCCAAAGTTTGCAATAGAGGTGAAGATCTTTTAGCAAATCGGTGTTTTCTTCTGAGGTTATACTCACTGATATTTGGAGTTAATGACATCATAATTTAAATCTTTTGATGTATTGATTGCTTCAGCAGAGAATGATCCGAAAAAGGGAAATCAACAGTTTGTGTTGCAGAATTAATTGAAAGAAGGAAGATAAACCATGAGAACATGAAAGACAAGCACTGTAGTAAGAATTTAAATGAGACACACAATTATTGAAATTTATATTTTTATCGCCTTTAGTATCTTCTGTAGAGATATTTAATTAATGTGAGTTTAAAATTATTCACTCCTTATAGATACTGCCTAAATATGAATCAATGAGGAATAAGTTAGAAGCGTGGAGACAAATTCAGTGGGTTTATGTAGACACTGATTTAAAACTGTACAAGACAGATTGTAACCCTCTGACCCTACAGACTGTTACTCCACTGCCCCATTTTTAGTTTGTCTCAAGCAACTTTTATTTTCACATCACTGTAAGATCAGAAAAGGAAATTATATAGCACAGAAGTAAAACTAAAACTTTTCAATAGTTATTGTGATTATTGTATAAAATATAATTTAGCCTTCCATCCTGCTATGGAATTCCTTAGACTAGAACTGTTGGATTTTACAGAACTTTCCACAAGGCATTATAGAAAGGTAGGTAAATTAGACGTAAAATACATCTACTGGAAAAAGTTATTTATTTATTTATAGATATTTTTGCTATTTGCAGACAGCTTCATGTCAACAGAAATCTATTTTATTCATTCATGCATGCTCATATGAAAATATTTCCTTTCTTTACTGTTTTTTTAATGTAACCTCATAATTTCTATTTTTAAACTGGAAGTAAATACAAATGTGACATTGAAAGATTTTTCTGAAAACTCAGTGTAATTTAGCTAGTTAAAATTGTACATAGGTACAAAAAATCTACTACATCTGTAGAAGAATATATTAGAAAACTAGAAAAATAAGATTGGTAAAGGAAATAATATTAAAATAGATCAAACAAATATCTGATCAATATTTGAGAGGTATATTTGTTACACATTTCTGGTGGTTCAAAGTGAGATGTCTTATTTTCTCATTTTAAATCAGAAAGAAATGAAAATATTTTCATTATTCTAGATATGCATAGGAATAAAAAATTTCTTTTTAAGATTGGCTTTAGTTTTCCTGCATCTTGACATTAGGTTTCCATGGATTTTAGCAGTATCTACTGGTGACCAAAATAACTTAGAGCAAATAAAACATGTCTTCTGATTGAGAAATTAATTGATTAGCCAGCATAAACTAAGAAAATACTATTTTTCTGATCATCTCTTTTTCTCTATAAAACATATCTATATTACCAAGAATAAAATTACAATTTCTTCTTTTAAAACTGTATCCTGTTTAACTTGTCAAGAACTGTTGTTGCTGGTTTGACTTACCAATGTCAAGTACTAAATGTTGAAAAAACAAAACTGATGCTAACTTTTTTAAAGCACATATTTGACAGAAGGTTAATAGTTTTTGGATAAGCTTATTTTATTAATAAGGATTCTCAAAAATTTTATAAATTTCAAAAATTGCGTTTATACATATTTTGTTTTAATAATCTCCCAGTTTTGGTTCTGAAAAATTAAGAAAACAGCTGAGAATGCATTTAACTTCAATCTTAGTACTTAAGGAATAAAGTTGCCAGTGGGACTCTCCACATCTCAAAATTCTATAGGCCTGAGATACTAGAGTCAAGATAAACAGAAATTGCTGAATATCTCTTTACTGACTACAGTGACTTCAAATTTTTTTTTAATAATTTTATATAAAAGAAAAGCTTTTGGTGTTGGATATTTCAATCCACCTCAGTGACTTAGGTTTATGGATAATCTGGATCACAATTTAATAAAACTGCAGGCAGCTGTAAGCTAGGACTGTTAAGCAGGGCTAATTTACTTATGTATGCTATAATAGGCAGATTTTATCTGGTGTCCAAGTCCAGGTTTATTCATTTTCAGCTGTATCAGCTACCAGAGGGGTCAATCAAACCATTTTGAAACAACCACAACAGAGTCATTTCCTAAAGAATAGGCAGAGTGTTTGTTCCATTGCCAGAAGCCTAGGAAATGTGAAATTATGCATTCCTTGAGATAAACATTGGATGTCAGTGTTGCACCACCAAATTACAGCTCCAAATGAAACAGTGAAAATGAGAGTTCAGTGCTACAGTCCGGCTTTTAACAAGACTGACTACATGACTGCTGTGCTATATGTTGGAACCATAGCAATGTATGTCCAAGCAAAGGGGTCAACTCTTGTACACCAGGACATTGCACAAGGCAGAAATGAGTCTCCAGACATTGATAAAAAGTGAATAACACTGGCAGTGGCTTCTGGTGGAGAGAGAGAGAAACTGACTCCATTGCTTAATAGTAAAAGCCATCAGAAAATATTGTAGTTACACATTAATTTTCCTGAGTTTGATCAATATTTGATTAAGATTCTTTATTACCTCAAGTATTTTGATACTGATACTGAAGTGTTCTAGTAAAATATTCATATTATTCAGTAAGATTCTCCTGAAAATCAGGCCTCACAAAGTATCAGTCCAATAGATTCTTCCTAACCATTGGTAAAATGCCTGCCAACAGTCAAGCTTTGCATCTCCAACTATAAGTTATTTTAAAACAGATGGAAGAAACAGGTTTCAAAAAAAATCTGCTATGAAGGGGCAGACTACTGGGGCAGAGTAGAAATCCTACAGCAGTAAGATTTTTGATGCAGATTACCTTTTCAGAGGTGTTCATATAACCCCCTCATTTGCCTTTCTCAGTGCAGAGCCAACTCTCAATCTCAAAATAGATCAATCTGCATTTTGATTGCACATCATTCCCTAATAATTTTCTAAGACTTCCTCCAGCCCATAGTATATTTAAATTCAGTCTATTGTGACAAGGCATTACAATAGAGAAGATTTATATATTCACTCAGACTTCCTTATTTTATAAATCATTGACCTTCAGTAAGTAACCCCTGCAGTGGAGCCTCAGGAGTAGGGTACAGATTACATTTAGTGGTAAGGATGTTTTGTGACCAGGACTTACTTTGCTACCACTTTACTTCAAGGCACTTGTGTCCTATTTCCCTTTGTTTTTCAGACCTTATCATAAACCTTAATAGGAAAATGCTATGAATTGCAGAAGGGCTTTTTCAAATGCACAAGTA